GGCGGGACTGGACTGGACTGAAACAATATACGGCCTGTGGGGTCAGGCCACGGCCTGGTCCCACAGGCCGAACTGGCAAATAGCCAAATAGGCCCTGGCTGTAGGCCAGGGCAGATGAAGGCCCGCTGCAGGGGGGAGGGGAAATAATGGACCCCCTTTTATTTTTTTTTACTTTAGTTTTTTTTTTTCCGTTTGATTGAACGATTGGGCAGTTTTTTATTACTTTTTTTTTTTTTTTTTTTTTTTTTGATTGATTGATTGATTGACTTGTTGATTGCTTGATTGCTTGATTGATTGGTTGATTGATTGCTTGCTTGCTTGCTTGCTTGCTTGATTGATTGATTGATTGGTGGGGGAGGTTCTCCCAACCCTCCCCTGGCACACACACACACAGACACACACCCACCCGCGCGTACACACACACACACTCACTGTGGCATACTGCATAGCCACACGGGCCTGCAGGGCCCGTCCCGCATTTCCAGCCTAAAAGCCTAGAAATAAGGGCTTACAGGCCCCTGTCCTTTCAGCCGGAAAGACTGAAAAACGAGGGTCTGCAGGCCCTATGTCGTTTCATCCTAAAACAAGGTTTTTCAGCCCTGAGGCTTTTCAGCCTGAAACGGAGGGCCACTTTCGGGCCCTCATAAGATCGACCTACCCTAAGACTCATGCACAAAAACAGGGTTTCGGGAACAGGCTATTTCTGGCCTGTTCCCCACGACAGCCTCAAGCAGGAGCTGCAGAGGCAGCCCCTGACTTCCTTCGGCATTGGCAAGAGCAGCCTCCTGGACTGCCTCGCCCTGCAGTCAGGAGGCACCAGAGTAGTACATAGGAAGTTCCCATGCACTTCACGGGTAGGTAGTTGGACAGTAGGCACGAGTAGTCTTCAGGATTCAGCTGCAACACTCAGGAGGAGTGCTGCAGTAGTGGTTAGTGCTAACAGTAGTCTTCAGCGCTGGGCGCTCATAGTTGCAAGAGTAGTCTTCAGCGCAGGGTGCTAGTAGCTGGTAGTGGTAGCGTTGGAGAGAGATGGCTGGCGGAGGCCAGCGGTACTTACCTATGGCGCCATAGCTCCAGCTCCATCTTCGAGGTACCTGCATCAAGGCGCCAACTTCACAGGTTAGTACTGGACACAGAGAGAGAGAGAGTTCTTCTTCTTCCTCTTCTAANACTGGACACAGAGAGAGAGAGAGTTCTTCTTCTTCCTCTTCTAAGTCCACCATCTCTTCTTCACCCTCTCACCACCTGACTTCTCAGTATCAGCAGACTACTACAGAGAGAGAGAGTTGTGACTTGAGACTTGATGACATTGGATCCAGACTCGACATTGGGATTCAGACATTTTGACGAGGGACTATTTGGGTCTGTGCCGAAGACTTGGTGTTGACGACATTCCCATCTTCGCCTCTTCTTCGTGTAACCCCCCTCTTCTTCGTCTGTGTATGGTTGGGGCTGGCACAGTCTTCCTGTGTGAGTGCCAGACCCCTTCACACCATGGAATGATAATGATGATGTGTGTTCGGGGATGCATTGCAATATTGATTGTTCGGATCATTGGTATCTAAGTCTTCCGCTACGCTATCTTGTACTTTGTATTGAGAGGTCGGTTCTTGTTCTGGTCTGCACCGTTACAGTATGCAGCGGACCCCTCTTGAGAGATCTACTGACACCCCTTCCTCCGGCATGGCAAACATCACATCTGCCCAATGGCAGGCCATGCTGGATGCAGCAGATGAGAGCAAGAGACCGTTCTTCCAGAAACATTATGCTGATGCAGTACAGAGAGAAAGGGAGGTAGAGGCAGCAGCTAGAGTTGCCAACATTGTTGATCAGGTGGCTCTACTTCGGATCCCGGAAGCCAATGCTGACCGGTTCCATGAGGGACTAGCTGCTGCCGTAGCAGCCTTGGTTCGGCTGCGGACCTTGGAAAACCTTGAGTCCCGTGTAGCAGCACTAGAGCAGCAGAACCAAGAGCTGCAGGCTGAGATAACCAGCCTCAAACAGTCTCAACTGTCTGCCCCCCGCCCTCCTAACCCTCGATCTGTTGTAATCCTAGTGTCTCAGTCCAACACAGTCCTCGTGCCAAGGGTCAGTGGAACTGTGGCAAACGCAGGAACCGGTGTCAGTTCCTCGAGCGTCAACGCCGACAGTTCTGCGCTGGTCACAGTCCCCAATGCAGGGAAATCAGCCCAAAACGCCACAGTCTTTATTGGCATTCAGTACAGCAGTCCCATGGTGGACAAGAGGGCGGTCACGCTGCCGTCCAATGGGAAAGCAGACGTTACCTCTTGGATTAGCTCCATGAGGTCATACTTCAAGGTTTTGCGGACACCGCAAGAGGACCGAAGTATGATCATGGGGACAAATATCGAGCCCACCGTACGGAACTACATTCAGCTCCAAGTTATTGCTGCAGGCTATGAACGAATAGACCTGACCGAGTGGCTGAAGATAACCCCTGTACGCACCCTTGAGGACCTTCTCCTTGCACGGTACCAAGACAAGCATGCTGCGCTCAAGGCTAGGCTAAAGCTTGAGGCCTTGAAAGGCCAAACATGGAGGTTCTTCATGCACGCTTTAGAACAGCACTTGACTGGTCTGTTCACCACTCCTGATCTGGGAATGACTAACGTGTCTTGTATGGATGTAGTCATGGGAGTGGCCCCTAAGGAATATCTCTCCTTGTTGGCACTCAAAGACCTTACCACGTGGCGAGAGCTCATGACGGATCTAGTCAACCTAAAGGCCAAAAACCTCGCCAGGCGGAAGAAGGCGTCCGTTGCAGGTGGGAAACCACAACGCAAGCGGTTTGGAAGCAGCAACCAACTTGCACTACATGATCATCAGGAGGCAGAAGATTAGTCCTGATCTGACTCTAGATGACGATCTAGAGACAGACTCCGATATGGGTTGTTCCTCATCAGCCATTGAGTCCGACGTGAATGAAGATGAAAAGCTTAATGCTTTCAGAAAGACTGCTTCAAACAAGGGGTTGAACCGTGGTTAAGGTAAGGGAACTGTTGTCCACCTCCCAAAGAATGCAAAGATCCCTGAGAAATCGGGGGATGCCTCAACCAAGCCTTGGGAAGCCCTCCATATCAGTCATAAGGAATGGGAAAGAAGATCTAAACAGCGCATATGCCTGCATTGTCAAAAGTTAAGGCATGTTGTGCAGGACTGTTATAGACCGCAGGGAAACAACAAAAGGGCGTAGAGGACTCCTCAGCACTCCCTACAACAAGGGAAGCTGGAACATCAGTTGCAAGCCCTTCTGATGAGCCTGAATCTGATCAACAGACCACTCTTGAAGCCCGAAACGATGCTGAATCCAAGGCTGCTGCAATTCATGCATTATACAAAGAGCCTTGGGAGGAGTCTAAGGAAGTTGACTTCCACACTCACATGGAACATTGGCTGCAGCTCAAGCAGCAGGGCCGTGTTCAAGGGAGTGTGGAGCTAACCTTCTTTAAACTGCTCATTAATCGCCGATACATCCGCGTGCTGATTGATAGTGGTTCAACCACTAACTTCTTTTCTCCTAACGGGATTCGTAAGGCGGGCCTGGGAATGAAGCAAGTGGAACTGCAGAACCCTTGTCAGACCCAGGTGGGAAACCAAGAGGTTGTCACCTCTACACATGTTGTCAAAGGTGTGCGCGTCACCTTTGACAAGGACCGCACTGTCACACATGAGCTCAACTTCTACGTCATGGACAAGTGTCCGTTCGACGCGGGCATTGGCTTGGGCTGGTTAAAGGCTCATTGCCTAAGGACCACGTGGGCGGACAACCAGTTTGTGGTGCGTGATGCCAAGGGGAACGAGCGTACCGTCCTATTGGATGAGACGCGCGAGTCCCCTGTGACTCTTCTAAATGCAACCAAATTCTGCAAATCAGTGCGCAGGCGCAAGGAGATTGAGTTTGTACATATAGCTCTTGTAAAACCTCTCCATGTGCCTTCTACTTTTGCTGCATTTCCTACCTCGGAAAGTAACTCCGCCTCTACTACTTCTACTTCTGTTCCACCTACTTCTACTGTAAATAATCAACCTACTTCTGAACCAAATACCTCGAAACCGGTTGTGATTGCTGTAAATTCTCAATCTGATTTTCTTTCCCCTGATGAGAATGATCCTCCACCGGAAATCCCAGCAAACATTCGCTATCTATTAGATCGATTTCCTGAAGTCTTGGTTGAACCTCGCGAAGTTCCCGAGCGTCCAGTCAAACACAAAATCGAGATAATAGAAGGGAGTGTTCCTCCAAAGGGCTGCGTCTACCGTATGGGACAAGGCGAGTTGGAGGAGTTGCGGAGACAAATCGATGACATGATTGACCGTGGGTGGATTAGGCCTAGTGAATTTGAGTTTGGTGCCCATGTCTTGTTTGTACCAAAGAAAGGAGGCAAACTCCGGATGTGTAATGATTATCGTGGCCTGAATCGGATCACAAGAAAGAATGTTTACCCTTTGCCTCGCATAGATGATTTGCTAGATGCGGCAGGTGGATGCAAGGTCTTCTCCAAGATCGACCTCAAGTCTGGCTACCACCAGATTGAAGTTGATCTGAGCGACCAACATAAAACTGCGTTCAAGACTCGCGATGGGCTGTACGAATTCATCTTTATGCCCTTCGGTCTTACGAATGCACCTGCCACATTTTAGTGCCTCATGGACAAGGTACTCCGCCATCAGCTTAACAGGTTTGTGGTTGTGTATCTTGACGACTTTCTTATTTTCAGCAAGTCCATGGAGGAGCACGTCAAGCATCTTGAAGAGGTTTTGCAAGTCCTCAAAGAAGCTCAACTGCACCTCATCTTAGAGAAATATGAGTTTGGTAGGGACAGTGTCATCTATCTCGGGCGCCGGTTGTCTGCAAACGACCTTGAGCCGGAGACAACCAAGGTTGAGGTCAATCGAAACTGGCCTCAACCGGCGAACGTACGCGAACTGCGATCTTTCCTCAGTCTGGCCTCTTACTACCGGAAGTTTGTACCCAAATTTTATGTTATTGCTCACCCACTCTCGAGACTGACAAGTAAAAATGTTGCCTATGTGTGGTGTGAGAAATGTGAGACTGCGTTCCAAGCCTTGAAAGAGGCATTGGTGAGTCATCATGTGCTCCGCATTGCGGATCCCAACCTCACGTTCGTAGTCACTACGGACGCGAGCTAGTTTGGGATTGGTGCAGTGCTGCAACAAGATGATGGCGATGGCCTGCGTCCGCTCGAATATTACAGCAAACGCATGCCCAACCACAAAGTAGCTACTTCCACATATATGCGTGAGCTCTACGCCTTGCGCGAGGCGCTCACACATTGGAAGCACCACCTTTTGGGTCGTCACTTCAAGGTCTATTCAGATCATCGGACCTTGCAGTGGATTAAGATGCAAACTGATCTTTCTCCAACGCTGACCCGCTGGCTGCATGACATTGATGTCTTTAACTTTGAACTAAAACATAAGAAAGGTTGTTATAACCGTGTTGTTGATGCTTTGTCGCGCCATCCCAAGTACTTGACTTGCCTTGCGGACTCATATGACCTCCGGAGGAAACTGAAGGAGGATCTGGTCGAACACACTACCAAAAATCCGGACCTTAGTCCCATCCTTGAGCAGCTCCAGGCTGACCCCAACAGTCAGCCTGATTTTCACGAATGCGAGGGTCTTGTATTTCATCGGTACGAAAAGTTTGACCGTTTGTGTGTTTCCAACCATGCGTCTCCGGACTCATTTCTTGGATTTGGCACATGGTCGGAGTGAACACTTTGGCTTTGAAAAAACATACGGGGGGCTTTTGCAGCAGTTTGATTGGTCGGGAATGAAGGGATCTGCTCAGAAATTTATCGCGGAGTGTCAAGTCTGTCGAAGAACAAAGGTCCATAGGCATAAGCCTTATGGCCTGCTGAAACCTCTCCCAATTCCTGATGGTCCCGGGGAGTCGGTCTCTATCGATTTCACAGACATGGGAAAGGTGAGTGTGGCAGGGAATTAACAAGTTATGGTCATTGTGGACCGCTTTTCTAAATTTATGAACCTGATCCCTCTACCTCCTCATGCACCGACTGAGCTAGTGATTGAATAATTTCACCAACAGTACATTCTGCAGTATGGACCCCCGAAAACTCTTGTGAGTGATCGGGATACCAGGTTCATCAGCGCCGATTGGAAGGACTTCACCTCACAGATCTATGACATCAAACTCGACAAGACTTCTGGTCGACATCCCGAAGCCAACGGATTGGCTAAGAAAATCAACCAGACTGTCATTCAATTGCTTCGTGCGCTAATCGTTCCAGATCAGAACACGTGGGATAAGGAGTTGCACAAAGTGAAAGGATTGTACAACAATTTCATTCACTCTGCGACGGTCGTAACGCCGAACCAGCTGCAGTATGGTTGGCAGCTGCGCAACCCCCTCTCCTATTTGTTCCCCGAACGGTCCCCTGGTCTGACACCCGGCATGCCTGACTACAATGTCAAGTATGCACGCCTGCTCAAAGTTGCAATCGCAGCAATGAACAAGCGTCAGCATGCCATGATCAAACATGCTAACAAACTGCGCAAAGAAGCAAAGTTTCAAGTAGGGGATTATGTCTGGGTCAAAATGTCTGAGTTTTTTTTATGAAGAGGGCGTATCACGGAAGCTTTTTCCATTGTACTATGGCCCATGGCAGATTCTGAAGGTGATTGGTGATGACTTTGGCCCTTCTTATGTGATTGATGTGCCTCCTCACCTGCGCACATATCCGGTCTTTCATGCGTTCAAACTATTCCCACACATTGATGATGAGACTTTTCCTTTCCGAGACCCTATGATACCTCGCGCTATCGACGGCGGCCATGAGATAGACCAAATCGTTTCGCACGAGGGTAGAGGGAGGAACAGACAGTACAAGGTTCACTTCCTCTATCACCCGCTGAACGATTTTTTCTGGATCGACCGAAGAAAACTGCTAAAGAGTGCCCCACGTGTTGTGAACGCATACGAACCACAGATTGTTGATGGGCAGGCCGCTAAGTTTTCTGCAAAACTCACTCCCTACGGTCTCACCAAATCTCTCTTTCTGATCTACGCCTATGATGCCTTTTGTGCCGACTCTGAATGAGTTACTCGCTCGAAGGGACCTCGCTCTTGAGRGGGGGGTAGTGTAATGACCCGCCAAAAACACAAACTGCGAACTCTGTCGATTTCTGGGATTTGCAACTGGAATAAATGCCTTGCTGTGATTCCCTCATTCTGCTGTGTTTTCCAAGTCTGTGTGTGTGTGCGTGCCTGCCCGTTTGCATGCCAGTCTGAGTACTTGTCAGTTGAGTGTGTGTGTGACCCGCAAGGGTACTTGTTGGTTGCAAGGCCCCGCAGGGCCGGTACTTACCTGTGGCCGTGACTTTGAGGGTTGCAGGGGGGTAAACACTCAGGTAGCAGGGGGTAGGCGCACGACACTTAGAGCAGCTGGGGAAAAACACTCAAGTAGCAGGTAGGCCGAGCAGAAGAAGATAAAAAGTTGGCATTCTTAGAGGCCCATTAGCGGTAGGCTAGAGGTAGGCCGGTACCAGTCCAAGTAGCCCGGGTCTAGGGCCTGTCCGGACAATAACAGAGCCTGCAATGATGTTTCCCTCCAAAAGGGAGGAGGTACCGGTTGCTGGGAGGCCGCTCGGCCTAGGAAGTCACCGTCCAGGAGGCCGGTAGGCCGCTATATCTTCAGGAAGAGCGAAGAGCTCTTCCTCATTTCTGGTATGCAAGGATTGGCGACATGCTACTGGAGCGCTAGCGCTGGTCTACTACAACGCTGGGTGGAGGTGAAGGCAGCTGGGCGCTCTGCCTGGCTATGGCAAGCAGCCCAGTGTGAGGAGGAGGAAGAAGGAGGTTGAGGGAGAGAGTGGTGAGGCACTTACCTGGCTATGGTAGACACCATCTTCATTACCTTGTTAGGCGCTGCATCTGGAAGGTCCCAGTTGGGGTAGTACGGCACCAAGGAAGCTCGAGGCAGAGTCAGGCATTGCGGACCAAGTCAGCAGCAGCATAGTTGCTTTGGGTAGTCCTTTGGACATCAGCGCAACACCATAGCTGCTTGGGTTGTCCCTTGGACATCAGCGCAACACCCTAGCTGCTTGGGGGTAGTTCGCCATAGCCTATGCATGAGAAAGGAGGTTGAAGGAGGGAAGCCATAGCTATGGTGGACTTATTGTTGTTGTTGTTGTTGTTGTGTTGAGTTGAGTCAGCAGTAAGAGGGAACTTCGGATATTGATTCTGGCTCATCCATTCATTGTTATTATTAAGAGAAGGAGGAGGAGGAAGGTGGA